GTACTACCCTTTGGTGAAGGAATATTTAGACGTCATCTTTAAAGTCCCTTCGTCGGTTTACCTCCAGACCGAGGTGTGCGTCATGAGGTCGACCTAGTTCCGGTAACCAAGTACTGAGTGGCTCCTGCCCAAGGAGAATGTGACGTCATTGACGCCTTCATCCGTGCAAAGCATTACGCAGAAATGGTGCTTGAGAGCAAGTCTCCCCATTCGACACTCACGTTATGTGTCCGGAAGCTGAACGGCATGGACGCGTCGTTCACGCTTACAATATGATAAATGCTGCCAGCATTCCGGCACATACGCCGATTCCTAGGAAGGATGTTTTCCGGAACAATATGATTGGCTGTACAAAGTACAGTGCACGAATGACTTTTACTAATAAGAGCGAGTGATATTCCGCTGACAGCGGTGAGTACTCCGAGCGGAATGGTCTGGGAGTGGCTGGAGATGCCCCAAGGGCTGTCAAATGCACCAGCAACATCTAATCGTCTTGTGACGCGGCGTTCAGGCCCCACCGGGCGTATGCACAAAGATACTTCGACGACATCTTCGTCCACAGTCGTGCGGGACAGGGAGGACAGATGAGGAAAACCACATCGTCCATTTGAGGGCGGTGCTTGAGCGCATGCGCATGAAAAAGTTGTATGCTGCATGTTCGGCACGGAAGAAATCTTCTTTTTAGGGTGCTTCATTGTGAAGCGTGGCCTTCGAGCGGATCCCGCTAATCCATTGTGAACTGGCTAGTTCCAAAGAATCAAAAGGACTTGCGCGAGTGGCTTGGCCTCGCCAGTCACTTGCACAAGTATAGCGCAAATAATGCGGAAATGGCACGGCCATTTTCGAATCTCCTTACGAAGGATACGGAATGGTGTTGGGACACCGAGCATCGGGAGGCTTTTGGCAGGGTCAAGACAGCCTCCTTCATGCACCAATACTGTTATTGCTAGACCCCGATCGTTTCTTTAGAGTCGCCTGTGACGCTTCGGACTCATCCATCTGCTGTGCACTGCTGCAAGTAGACCCGATGGGCGAGATTGGATGATCGCGTTTGAGTTTCGCCAGCTTAAGGCTGCGGAGTTTAGTCCACGACATTAAACTACTTGCGATGAAGTATGCACTTGTCATGTTCAGGGTGCACCGGCTTGGTTCAAAGCCGTTTGCAATCTACACAGATCATGCGTCCATACGCACTGCAACTCAGTCGACTCAGCTATCGCAGAGGATGGCCAGGTAGCTCTTTTTTTGCAGAATATAACTTTGAGGTGAAGTATAAGCCAGGAAAGCAGAAGGCTTTGGCTGATGCGTTGTCACGCAGTCCGAATTATGAGCTTGCTCATGTCACGACGGTGTCGTTGTCAGTGGCGGATTTGATCCGCACCGCAAACGCGGGTGATAATATGGGCGTAGCGCTGCTAAGGCTCTCGAGAGCAAAGAGATTGGAAAATTGTCGGCACGTTTGCGCTCACGGTTATACCGATATTTGCTGAATATAATGGATTATTGTGTTAAGGCACTGATTTATCAGATACGCCACGAATTGTGGTTCATCACGATGAGGATTTAAAATACCGTATCCTCTATGAGGTCCACGACACCTCAATCAGTGGTCATCTCAGTCGTCAGAAGACGTACATCTGTGTGAGCTGCCAATGCTGTTAGTCTAAGTTGTACAAATGGACGAGCACATTTGTCCGCTCGTGTGAGTCGTGTCAAAGGGAGAAACCCTCTCCGAATGCAGCAGCGCCGCTGGCCAGTTTCCCGGTACCCTCCGGGTGTTGGCAGTCCATGAGTATATAGTTTGTGTTTAGCCTGCCGAAGAAATCGGTAGACAACACGGGGGTAGTGGTCTTTGTGGACCGTTTGAGCAAGATGGCTCATCTTGCGGCAGTGCCGGACATCATCGACGGTGTGGGTATAGCGACGCTGTTTGTGGATCGTATCTTTCGACAACATAAACTCCCGGAGTCAATCGTTTCTGATAGAGACCCACGCTTCGCTTAGCACCAAGATGACTCGGAATATCCGCAGACCGATGAACAAACTGAGCGCGTGAACCGCGTCGCTGAGACATTCTCCGCAGTGTCTGTGCTGGGACGCCGAAGCGCTGAAGTGCCATGTTGCCATCGTAGCGTTTGCGTAAAAGTGCAGTGCATTCATCTTCCGGCTACACGCCGATCTACGTGAACTTTATAATCCTTGCGTCCCGCTGACGCCGTCACCCCATGGCTCAGGGCTTGCTGGGGGAGAAATAGCCGAACGTCTATCTGATGTCATCCTTCTTGCTGTTTGTAAGGCAGTCGATGACTTCCTGTCTACCAGACTGAGTGTTTTACGACACGTTCGCGATGCAATGGCTGGAAGCCAAGACATACAAAAAGAATGCAGATGGTAGAAGCGGGAGAAATGTGAAAAACGTTGAGGTCGGAAACCTGGTTTTATTAGATATTTAAAACCACCTACACATGCAGTCTCTGCTGTCTTTAAAATAAAGCTCCGTCCACGGTTTATTGATATTTTAAGACCGTGACCAAGCGAGGCCTTGCGTATACTGAACCTTCCGAGAGGGATACGCACCCGCCCGGTGTTTTAAGTGGGCTTGCTTAAGCCGTACCGGGATCCGGCACAAGTGAGCGCGAAGGCGCTCGGCCACCCAAAAGCTGAACCAGCAACTGGTTCTGAGTACGGAGTGCAATAATTTCCGTTCCCAACGGCACCAGGCGCGCCACCGTCGCACGAGGTGACGTAACCGTCTGCTCGTCGGCTAGGAGCCGCTCCGACAGAGCGCGATAATCCTCAACGTGAGGCAGTCGGTGCACAAAGTGCTCCAGACTCTCGGAGTCTTCCGCACAGCAACAAACTTTGTCCTCCAATGCTCGAAGATCATTGCGTGTCACCGGACGGCGATCGTCCAAGTCGTCATCGTTCACCGCCGACTCTTCTCGATGAGAGTAGTGGCGTCCACTACCACGTTGAACTCCTTGTGGGTCGACGTCGTCGACAAGGACTAAACCAGTATCTTGTGAAGTGGCGGGGATACCCAAACACCGAGAACTCGTGGAAGTTCTAGGTGCCACTTAGATGAGACTGCCCAGACGTCATGGACGCTTATGATCAGAAGGATCATGACGCTTTGCGTCGTCGTTCACCACACGCTTCTCGTCAATCGAGTGATCGAGTCTTTCGCTTCAGTAGCGGGATCCGCCGAGCGAAAGCCGTACTCCACGCGAGGGTCTATGAATACGAGCGCATGAGAGCCGCCCTGTGGGCAGCTCCAACGGCTGCTCCTGTGCCTCGTCGATGCGATTGGTAATGATACCACTTCCCCCGAAAGTCGAGAGTTCGGGGAACGGACAAGGTCCGAGATGGGCTCACGTTGGTGCACCTCATCCTCCACGTCTTCCCATGCTGGGAAAGGATTATTTGACTCATAGTCGATTTCCCCCAAATCCTAGTCGAGAATTCCGTCGCCCGTGGCGGGCACGGTGCGTGTTGCTCGGTTGCTGAGGGCTTGGAATGGGCTTCTTCGTGATGCCGCGGACGTACTGCCCAGAGATGCACCCCGTGCAGAAGAAGAAGGGCTTTGCCCGCGGGCGCCTCAAAACAGCCAGACTGGTGTTTTTGTGTCATAGACACAGGGCTCATTGAGCGGAAAATGATTTAATATGGTCATAGGGACGTAACTGTGCCTCAGACACGCGAGCCTCGTATGAGGCGACAGCTTATTGTGAATTGTGGTTTTTCACAATTTTGATGGGAGAGAGTGTAACGAGGTTACACGTACCCTCGTATGTATGGGTCAGTCACACAAGATGGTGTTACCGAACAAAGGTGTGAATAACACAAATCGGTGTAATAGCACAATGGTGTGGCTACACCGTAGCAAGGAGCCACTACGTGGCAGGATTGCCAGTAGTAATGCATATCAATTAGGTATTACTGTATTAGTTAGGTATTATTATATTAATCAGGAAAACCTTTTATATACTGACGGCTCTGCCGCAACTAAACAATTAAGTAAAGTTTTAATTTTGAACGAAAGAGCCTCTTTACCTTAGGTAAGGTTTTATGTAGTCTTGGAGGTAGCGGATTACGATCCGCTACACTCGCACCAATTCTTGTAAAGAACGTAAAGTCGGTGACCTTAGCTTAGCTTCCTCTAAGCAAAGAACTACGGCAACCCCGCTGCGGTAATTGAAAAAGGCTCTCAGGTGCAGGCACCTGAGTGCATGGAGTGCATGGAGTGCCGATAAACTGACGCTCGCTAATCGTTTGTTTCCGCGCAATGTCTCACGAAGTCAGAAGAAAAGTGAACCCGGTGTGATTTGAGGGGTGTCTAATAGGATTAAATTCTATTGTGTACGCATACCCTATACTTCTTTGCGAAACCCGTGAATAACAGAAAAACTAAAGTATTGGCACAAATGGAAAAGATAGGACTCTTTACAAGAGATCCGTGGTACACATGGCTGCTAGCTACTCATCGAGTAATAGAAGCGATTTAGCTATCAAAACCAGTTATTGTGTATTATTCTCGTCAAAGCAACTTAGGAAATTGCTTACTATTAGAATCTCTCAGTGATGCTCCTGAGTGAAGCCTACAAGTCCTTTTCAGACTCTTTGAAGTCAAAGCTTCATTTGCGCAAGGTCACAGCAACTTCGTTGCATAGTGAATGAAGAGTTGAGGAAGCAGTCGGAGTTTGTATAGCAAAATTAAGAGAGACTTTGTGTGGACTGAAAACGTTTTGTTTTTGTTTTTGATAGATATTGACATCCAAATGGAAACTCAGCTAATAACGATACATGCATCCAACAGCTAAGCTTAGGTCTGTCGGTTGTGGTATAAGTGTGAAGCACGGTTAAATTTCTCCTTGTGTCATAAAGCATCTTTAATCGTGTCTTTTGCACCTTATTCTTTGTCATTTTATCAATTAACTCTTTTTAGGTAAGTCATGTACAACACATACACCTATTTCTATTTGGTGCGAACGTCGCAAAGCATGGAGCTCGGTTGGGGCAATTCGTGTACGTGCGCTGCCTTCAAACCATCAGCCGGACTTCTACCTGCATCCTAAAGACTAGATGTCTCACAATTGTGCCTCTTTTTGACTTCTATGTTCTCTCTTAATCAAACTTACCGAATGAAAAGATTTAGAAGGATACGGCTTAAACCAGAGGTGCACGTCCACAGTTCAAACGAATTAAATGCTTATTCTGATACAGTGATCTCTTGTTGCTTCTCTACCAGCTATGACGATGGGGCAATGGCACTGACTAGCGAGAACAAACCTCGTATTCTTCTTATGGGATTGCGCAGGTACCGCGAATCTCCTTGTTCACCCGATTTTATCTTAAAGATAGCATTGTTCTTCCATGTTAATAGGAGCGGCAAGTCAAGCATTCAGCGAGTAGTATTTCACAAAATGTCACCACACGAGACACTTTTCTTGGAAGGCACCAACAGTCTTGACATCAAATACATTGCCAATAATTCTTTTGTACAATTTCAAATTTGGGATTTTCCGGGCGACTACGACTTTAAAGGTAATGAATGATACATGATGTGTCACGTCTATTACGAGAGATTTACAATACTGGGTTTGTTGCAGAGGATTTGGTCTATGGCGGCCAGCTTGTAAACGAGGAGATGATCTTCAGTAATTGCGGCTCGATTGTGTTCGTTATTGACGCACAGGATGAGCCATATGCAGAGGCACTGGCACGTCTGCACGACACAGTTACACGTGCTCACCGATATAATCCAGACATTCTGTTCGAGGTATTTATTCATAAAGTGGATGGAGATCTTTTCCTTTCAGATGATCACAAGATTGGTACGGACGTTAAGTACCAAATGGATGAGTGAAGTTTTTTATTGTGACAAATGATTAAATGATTTAATGACAGACTGCCAGCGCGAGATCCAGCAGCAAATCATGGACGAAATCAAAGATGGAGATCTGGATATTCACATGAGCTTCTATCTGACGAGTATATATGATCACTCGATTTTCGAGGCTTTCAGCAAGGTTGTGCAGAAGTTGATTCCACAGCTACCGACGCTCGAAAATCTTCTCAATGTTCTCATTACGGTTAGAAATTATATGCTGTTCGTGCTACGATCAAACTACATTGCTCACATTGCAATGTGTTGTTGTGCAGAGTTGCAATATGGAAAAATCATTTTTATTTGACGTCGTGAGTAAAGTTTACATCGCAACGGACAGTAATCCGGTCGACATGCAATCGTATGAGCTGTGTAGTGATATGATTGATGTTGTCATCGACGTTTCGTGTATCTATGGGTAAGCACGATAATCGGGAAGACTTTTGTGGATGACATCTCTGTTGCTGAGCAGGATGAAAGACGATGGGGAAGGTGATGGGTTAGCTTACGATTCAAAGTCTTCCTCAGTGATCAAACTCAATAACGGAATGGTTTTATACCTTCGTGAAGTAAACAAGTAAGTCAATTTTTTACTCATAAATTGAAGATTCCTTGTCTGAAGTATTTTGCATTCATAGCTATCTGGCATTGGTGTGTTTGCTACGTGGTGAAAATTTTATGAAGCAAGGAATCATTGACTACAACATCGACTGCTTCAAGTCAGCCATTGGCGACGTTTTTAAGGCACCAAAAGCCATCGAGTAGAAGGCAATCATGAGCGCAAAGAAGAATTTTCTTTCTTAGTGTAGAGCAATCAAATAACATTGCATTTGCTAAGTACAGAAAATGCATAGCTCGTGATGAGTATTGTCATGCGACACTTCGAATGTAAATATGTTGATATCGAATCCGAGTTCCTAGTTTGTCTCCAAATGGTACGTACAGATTACCATACAAGGCTACTTGTGCCTCGACTTTAGCACGTCTTGGTGTCGAAGTCAAGGTTCTTAATTTGGTATGCTTGTATACGATACGATGTGGAAGTGATGTCAGATGCCTTTCAAAAGGTCGGCAAGCAAGGATCCGAAATGATGAAAAGAGTTGGCTGAACGACTCTCTCTGGATTTACTTACTATGTCAATGTTACCATTAACTGAGCTACACAAAGCCACTCGATGCATTATCTCTCGGGATTGAAAATACATCACTGACTTTATCTCCGAATTCCGTCAAATTTGTTTATTTTCACATTGTTGAGCTGTTCGCTCATGTATGCAGCGATACATTCCTTATCAATGCCAGATAAGCTTATAGCCGCAACAACAAGCGGCTGAAACAAATCTGCGCGAAACGCGCTTTTAACTGAAAATCTTCAGCGACACGTATCAAGATTAAAGCGTCTACAACTCGGCGGTTCGAGCTGCAACTATGTGAGCGTTTCAAAGAAAATATAAACCCTTGATAAAATTTGACATCGTCATTGTAGCATGTAAGTATATGCTACTCTCCCTCCGTTTCCTGTGCTTGAGTTGAGCCTTTTGCTTTTGTATTATTAAGAAGTGCTTGCTTTCTCTTTCGAGAAGTGAAGCCTTTAAATTGCACTCGATTTTCTATAGGCTATAGTTCAAAATGCGTTAGTCCTATCAAAGGAATCGTGTGATTGATCCTGTTGTGAATATCTTCATGTGACCATCGCTCCTTCATACAGCGCCTGTCTTTAGAAATGCAGAGGTTTTAATTGAGGACCTATGCGAGAATTAATATTTAGCCAAAAAGCCAGATTGACTGTACGACTGCATTCCGATTGCTAAACACTTCGGTCAACGTCTGAGCATTGTCATATTAAGAAACACACAAATGGATTAAGCGAATGTGATGCCTCAGCTGCAGCAAGAGTGTGCTGATGAAAATGGATTACTATTGGTGACGGCAAGAAACCAAGATGTGGCGATGTAGCTTATAGAAACTATGCCTTTAAAAAATGCCTTCACTGAAGAAATGCACTCACAATCTTGATTAACGCAATTGCTGAACTTTACATTTATTCTTAAGATGCGTTGACAACCTATTTATCGTGATTCAGCTCACATGCAAACAATAGAGTAAGCTCATTGATGGTCAAAGCATTGAGAGCTTTGATCTCCTTCGCAGTCAATCTTGGCTGAGAAATATCATCTAGTCTTCTAATGTTCAGCGATTTTCTTCGGTAGGTTTACTCCATGTGATTGAATGCTTAAGATCTCGAACAAAACTTAAAACATATTGTGGTGGCGAAGTCGACCTACAACGATAAAGCTGGAAACGCGTAAGTAAAAGCTATGTAAGGCTGTATCGTTTCTAGGAGTTTCACTGGTAAAATTAGCCAGACAAATGCTAAGTGCATTCGTTGGTCTGTATACTCGTCACTCTTCTCGACCTCCACGTTTGAAGAACTTGTTAGACAAGATGAACAAGGCACGGAACAAGATAAATCAGATGAGTACTGCTGGTAAGTGTCTCGCTATATATACTCTCGACAATCGATTTTGCTGATCGCTGCATTAACAGACTGGCAACATTATTATTCCTTGCTATCGAGTCAGCAATTAATAAAGCATTTTGCGGATGAAGTCCATCGCTTTTCAAGGTGCCCCATGAAACCTGACGATGTACTACGGCGTTTTAGCTTGAATGGTGATGGCTTTCTTGACCTCCGCGAGTTTCAACTTGCGATGACTCGTCTTGAAATTATAGCTCCCGATTTACAACAGACTGATGGACAGCCAGGTCGAGATCTGGAGAGGGCAAGAGAACTTTACTTGGTCTTTTGTCCCACACAAACACGCAAACTAGGTATTTGAACTAGAAACATACAAATATTCTTATTGTTTTGCTGATGTGAAATGCCCAGACATCGAAGTATTCTGCCGTATCATGACAGAATGGTCCTTGCAGATTATGCGATCAAGTTACCAACACGATTCGACGTCAGATGTCACTCCTCGTTTATCTTCATCGTGGACTAATAGTCATTGTGCGCCTTTGGTCACACCCTACGCAACTCATACAACTACAAACATCATGCGCCCGGAATCAAATGGTGGAAATTGTATGGAGGAGAGTGAGCCTTTGTTACAGCGACTTGCATCGTCAATATTGCAACATCACGAGAAATTACAACAAATATTTTTCAAAATGGATGTTATGAGCTCCGGTAAGATTAGTCCAGAAGAGCTCGAGCTGGCTATGAGCCATATAGGCGTGTTTCTCACCACGCGCGAGTATGAGAAGCTATATAAATCACTTGGTGAAAATGTTAAGGAATACGCACGAGATGGTGCTAGCAACGGAAGATGGCATGGACGGGGTGGTAACGGAGACGCTTTTTTGATTAAGTATGCTGACTTTCTTGCATTATTTCGAGAAAAGTCTGGGGTTGATCACCGAACTCATTCATTACCATCTACGTCAACGAAAACCTCACCTCCAGTTGTGGGCGTTGGAAGTGCTCGCCTATGGGACTTGCTCGTCGCTGCTTTTGAAAATTTGCAATCCCTCTTCAGACAATACGAACGCATAGGACAAACTGTTTTACCACCCGAGACATTTCGAGACTGTCTGCTACGCTGTGGAATTGTATTAAGCAACGCTGATTTTGCAGCTTTGCGCGTTCGATTGTTGCCATTCTCGTACGTTGATTTCCTGGTGAATAATGGCTGTAAGACTTACTACATTCTTCATTTAGAGATGCTAGTTCTGGTTCTATCAGCATTAGTCCACTTCTAGACGCACTGAAAGCAGCTGACCGCACAACAATGAATTTAAAAGCACCTTCTGGATCTTCCTCTGTTACTAATGTCAACCAGATTCCCATTCGACTTGGGCGAAAAATCGTGCCAATAACCGCATACAGTCCCTTGCCAAGCGATCGAGAACCGTACCCAGCTGGAAAATCGACAAAGGAAAGGTATATGGAATCTCGTTGTGTAAGCTTCTGCTTAGCACAACAAATCCGCTCACTTTCAATTTATGCACTTAGAAATGCGGAGGCAAGCCGGACTATTGTCAAGATTAGTGACGATCGTAACCGAGAGGGCAACCTTCACCAGCCTGCGGCAAGTACTAGTCCACGAGCTGGTACAAGTGAAGCCAATGAAACGTATCTTGAACATCAACGCCGGCGTCACGATCCCTTTTTCTCGACGGGAAAGCCCCCACCAGCTCTCGAAGCTCGTATTTTATCTAAGCTACAACAGTTAAAACAGCTTGGCCAAATTTCAGCATCGTCTCTTCAAAGTGTTTTTCCTGGCGATCGCTTTGGCTATATATCTAGAGGACAATTTCGACAAGGTTTGGTGCATTTGAATTTGTCTGCCCGATATGCAGATGTCGAAACGCTATTCTGGACTCTAGATACTCAAGGACATGGATACATTGTAGCCCAAGATCTTTACGATCATTTGAATCACTTTTCTACGCAACAAAAATCTGAGGTGTCAAAGCAGGCACCGGAGCTTTCCGTTGATTGTTCGTTCAAACGGACGCGTCTGTCTCGCTCTGCTCAAAAAGTTCTTGAGAAAATGCTAGTAGAATTGCCACAAGTCTTGGCAAAGTGTGAATGCTTGGACAATAACAAAACGGGCTTGATATCTACGACAAACCTGCTGCAAGCTATTCATGAACTTGGTATTATGGCTTCATTACCGGATAAACAAGAAGCCATCAAGGCACTTTGTGGCGATCAAAGCGAGCAAGAAACATCTGATCAAATTCCCTATCAAATGCTCGAAACTCGTCTTGGAGCATTATGCTCTAGCTTGCTTTCACCGAAAAAGCGCTCACAGCATCGTTCCACAACATCCGTACTTCTAGCACCATTTGAAGTGCAAGTAGTCGATGTCAAATCTTCCGATACTTCTGAGTCAAATGAAACACTTTGGAACTGTCCACGCCGACGCATTGTTCAAAATCATCCTGCGGCGAGGTCCACAATTGAAATCACTGACGAGATCAAAAGTCCTAGAAATGAGCAAATGACTTCTGGTAGACGGCATCAGCGATCAAAACCCGTGAAAACTGCAATGTCACGCCTGGAACAAAGGCACCATATTGCGCTGATGGGTATTCTACAGGATCTACTCGAGCGACGCAGTGATTTAAAGATTGCCTTTGATTTGCACCGCCGTGCCGATTCTCGTGGTCATGTTTCGAAACAGGATCTTGTAGAAATCTTTTTGACTTCTCGTCTAAATCTACACTTTTCTGCTGGCGCTCTTGCTGCACAGGATCTCGTGGACAAGCTGTTTCCCTCGCTAGGACCGAAAGATAGCCTCGGATTTCTGGATGTCTTACATCGTATCAACGACCTTTTAAGCTTAGTTACCAATGAGTTGTCAGCGGCTCCAACATCTTCGATTAGATGCATGTCATCTTCTCTGTCAACAAACTCATTTCAGCATCCTGAACGATCGACAGGAAAGCGACTAAATAATAGTCTGGATATGCACAGTTCAGTGCTACCTTCGACAACGGGTTCATTTTTAAAACATGCTGCGAGATTAGATGAAGAAATTTTGGTGGATTGTATGGTCTCGATTCGACGAAAACTTCTACAAGAAAGCAGACTGAAAAACCTTTTAGACTCCGACTATGCGCTACAGAGTGCAGCTGTTCTGATCAGACATGCGTTTAAAGGCCTTGCTCCGCGTGAAATGGTAGTGCCAATTGACAATGGAAAATTTGAGGCAATCTGCCGAGCCAGCGATATCAAGCATGTGTGTTTTCGGCTTGGACTAGATTTAGATGTGCATGAGCAACAATTTGTGATCAGCAGTGTTGACACGGAAGAAAGCGGCTTTGTAAGTTCCATTGGCCTGCTTGATCTCTTCACAAAAGTCGCACAGGATGAAAACTTTACCCCTTTAAGCACGATACATGTAGAAAACGAAGCTGAAGCTAACAAGAGCCGTTCAGTGGCTTTTTGCGACGAAGTCCACAGTCCTCATAACATCAGCTCACCTAGTATTGCTAAATGCTAACTGGTTTTTGATTAGAATCATGTGCATTTCTTGTACTAGTTTAAGATGACCACATTCCCGCAATTTGTGACCTGAATAACTAAACCATTTGTGTTTTTCATACCATCAGCAGCGTCCTCGAAGAATTATTCAAAGTTAAATTTACTTTCATCATGCGGCAGTTCAAATTTAAGAAACGTAACAAGCTGAGAAACTCTTTTCCGTAAACAAAGTGCGAGAACTAGGGATTTATGAACGTTAATAGATCTCGGCGTCAGACTCTCTCTGAGAGAATTCAGACATTAGGCATTTAGAACTGATAGCGAGAATCATACCACTACACCACAAGGCCATAACGTCGAGGCGTGAAACACACATGTTGTTAACTAAATTAGAAGCCCACAGTTCTTCGTGCTGTTTCGTAATACACTTTACTTCTAGCATTGATGATCTTTAGCCCTTTGTAATGCAACTGACATAATCGTTGTCACTTTGAAGCGCAACTCCTTGTTGTATTTTGAGCCTCAATGTAAAATATGTGTGCGTGGCCTTCGAGACATCTCATGAGCGTTTGATATGCTTGACTGCTCACATAGCAAAAAACTTTACAAACGTAGCTTTTCAGTGCAAATAGGTGTAAAAATGATCATTTAACATTGCTGGTAATCTATTATAATTGCCAGTATGATATATTACGATAATCAACTATGATAGTAATCATTTCTAAGGTTTTCATATGATCATTTCTAGTTCAAAAGCTGCAGGCAAACGACGAAACTTTTTATCCCGAGCCGTCCAATCCATTTCAGACCGTGCGAAGACTACTCGGCTAGATTTTTTGTCTTTGAACCAAAAATATACACAGATAAAATCTTTAGGCTCAGTCGCAACTCAAGTTCGTAGCATTTCCAACATACCTTGATTGAGAAAGTAGGTATTGAACCAAATTTTGAAGTATTTAGCTCGCATACACCCGTTCGCGCGTTCACGATAGAATTCAATCAATACGCAACCCCGGACTTCCTCGTCTACATCGAACTCAATTGAGCCAATTTGTTGATGCATCAGAATTTTCGACAACCCGTCAGGGCAGAGTGTAAAGACGCGAAGTCGCAACTTTGGCGGTTTAGCTGCCGTCAATATATTGTGCAACTTCAATTTCTTAATCGTCAGAGCGGGTTCTTGAATGTCTTTTCCTGGCGTAAGAGCTTGTCCAAGGATTGAAGCGTAATAGTGTACCCACTTTTTCTGACTTACAACCGTGAGACCCCGGCGATCGTGTACGCGCTCGCGATTGTAGCGCTCAATGGCATCTGTCGCGGAAGCCGAGAACCGCATTCGTATAAGTAGCATGCACGCCATCATGCCAGCTCGTCCTTTTCCAGCCTATAACGCAATTGACTTTTTAATCAGCGACAAAAAAATACTAGGCTAAGGCCGGTCAAGACCTTGCAATGCAGCACTACGACGTGATTTTCGTTTGCATCGAGCCACTTTGCAGCATCGTCACAGAACGATACCCTGCAGCAAAAATGGAATCATTATTTGTCAACCAAAAAATAAGTCTAGCTGTAAAATTTTACATCATTTGAATCGACGGAACATTGTGATCTTCAATGGGAAAATGCTTAACCCGCTCCTCAAAAATGCTCGACGGGTAACTAGTTTACAGCGAGTGAAATGTGTAAGAATAGGTCTCGTACCAATCACTTCACCATCAATACGAGCATCATAGATAATCAACCTCCGCTTGGGCTCGTCACAGAAATTGTAGACGTAGTAGTTGTCGTCATGGCGTTTATTTAAAAATATTTGCACGTCCAAACGCGAATTTCGAAACAAAGATTCGAACCCCACAGCAGGATAACCTAATGACATATCACCAAAAGTTATTAGTAGCTTTCAAATTGTTGATTTTGTTCAAAGTTGTCCACTAACCCATGACAATAATGCGCGGGTGTACGTAGCTTAAATCTAAATCGAATCCATCCTGTCGGAACCGACGCTTGTTTTGAGATACAAGAGAGCGCGGTACAGACAGCACCGGACGACAGATACAAAAGCGCGGCGTCATCGAGTGCTACTCTAAGAAAAGACAATGCCTTTTGAAATTTTAGGCGTTACATCCGTATACATAGCTTTTACCTTAATCACTCTCAAAATTCTAAGCGAAAATTCCAGGACCCAATCATGTGCATGGTCTATGTAACGGGAGAATAAATACACAATTGTTGCTATCAGAAATAGGGTTTTTTGGTTACGGTTATGAAGCATTATTGATAAATCTAAGGGACTTCAAGGTTTGTCTTGTTATCGACCACCCCGAAACCAGTAATCCCGATATTGAATATCACCAGTATTTACCATGGACAACCTCGGTATTCCTCCTTTCAATAGTAATAGCACATTTATTGGTTTATATCGACAGGAGCATCAGCTTTTCACTATAACCTTTTGAACATTGACGCCGGATCTCGAAGACGAAGAAGGTAAGCGTCATGGTAAATAGTTTTTATCAAAAGTGTTCGTCAACATAGAACTATAGGTGGGAGAAGATGGCATAGTTAAATACTACTCTTTTTACCGACTAGTACAGTAAAAGTAAATAGCAGTATAACACATCACCTTGCCACCTCGCAACGCTGATAGCTCTCCGTGGATACAAATCTCCTGGTTAAGGGCCCCCTTAGTTGATGTCGGTATGGATTACCGGGTGCAAATTTAGTTAAGCCCATCGCCACTACTGCCATGGGGTTGCTGTGCACTTTTCAAAGCGTCGACTTTGGGGTCTGCGTTGATACGTTAGTTCGGCTAGTGTGTTACCAAACCTAATACCCATGAGAGAGCTAATACTGTTACCTAGCCTTGTGATTTCAGAAGAAGGAGTAATTTTGTTTAGACTAATTCTATATTACACAAATTCTACTTTCTCAATATTAAGCTGTCTCTATCTTTCATGGGCGGCCCGATAAAATGCCGGTAGTCCATTACTTATAGATATTTACAGCAAAACCCAAAATCTTATGTTCATTTCTACAGTTGTGATTAGTATAAAACTGCCAAATTTGTAAGAATTAAGTACAAAATATTCCTATACTTGACCCGTTACAAGCACAAACTTCCGGTATTTAGGACGACTGGAGAGCAAGCACCGGTTCGTACAAATTTGCTAGTTGGAAATTTGTCAGGTATCAAGTTTTTATCCCAATATCTGTCATATCAATTGCGGTATCAAACCAAACTGAGTGAAATGTTCACTACTTTGGTGCCGTCGTACCGGAAAGTGATGCCACACGCCACTGATCACACGTACAGAAGAAAAGTTTCTCTGTAACGGGTTACGTACCATTTTGCGGCTTAGGTGCACCTAATATTATGTTCACTATTGTCCCTCCGACTCATGTCTACTGCCAGAAGTCCCAATGTAATGTACCACCATAATTACGATTAGTATTGATGAGAACGAGAGATGAGAATGTGGAATGATGAGGTCCATGGGGCTTGCGGGTGCTAGCCTCTTTCTATGCGGTATATAGAGCTTAATTGTCGGTAATGGAAAACATGATACTTGAAAAATTCGTTTAAAATAGACTTGATGTAGGTCTCTTCTGGGGGTGTATGAGCTTACTGAGTGCTGGCTTTTTGGGAGGCTTTCTTCTCTGCACCAAGGTGGTTAAATCCCGTCCTCTGTGTCTAAGTAAGAGCTGACGCACAGAGGTGAAGCTTTCTAGTGCACGACATTCCCATTGCGTCTGGTAGCACTTGTTGTCAATTTGACAATAAGGTCATAACAATACTGTATCTTCTGCACAGAAATTATGAATTGTTCTTCTATCTGTTCTCGAGACCAAGATGCTCTACACAAGCTTATGTCGCCGACGAAATATAGCGCAATTGGCATTCCAAGGACAAGAAGCGCCTGTCGAGCTCCTGACGGGTAAGAAAACGCGCGGGTGGGGACCTCAAGAGCGTTAGAACAAGGCGTATGGGGAAGCGCTACTGACAAAAATAGTGAAATCCTTATGCTTACAGTTCACCATTTGAGGGTAGGGACAGAGAAGTCTATCTTGATATGATATACCCTTGTTTTCAGGCGTGTTACGGACAAAGCATCTTTGCATCGAGCATGCTGTCCACCAGCTTATATACTGGCGTGAGAATGGGAACCTACGCCCGGGACACTGGTGTAAAAGGTAATTCAAACATGGAAAGTGCTCGCACGGCCTACAGGCATACAGTGTGCGATTCAAGTTCTTTTACCTGTCGAGAGAGAAATTCATTCTAGTCCAGATATTTATAATTTGAATATTGTGAAGGAGACTGCCCCCTAGCAGAATTGGATAGATACCTTTTTTAGAGAGTATGGATCGGCGGATCTTGACCAGATATCTTTTGTATTCACCTGACTTTTCGAGGTCAAGTGGGTCTCGGATTGAATAAGGGGGCCAATATATGTGCAACGAGGGTGAAAGGTGGAGAAGGTGAAATGTGGATGAGCTCCAGCAAAGATAAAGATGAAATTATCGAGAAAAGTAGCCCCATATTTTGTACATTTGTGCCGGTACCAATGCGTGCGCTGTGTATGCTGTTTCCCTTTTGATTACGAATTTTAAACGGTTAGTCTTTTGCGCATGATCGTCCGACGAAACACTTGCGGGGGAATGTCGGTTGCAGAGCAGCCGACTAGGATGAGACAAGACTCAATTGGTCTTAGTGATCTTAGAGATCAACAGAGCCCAACACTACGGAGCAATTTTTTAAGGTAGAAAGGACTTAGAGCTCATGAGTAATGCTTGCCAATATCATTGTCCCGGACTTTGTGACGCCTGAAAGCCCCCAAAAATTAGATACGTCGCTATTCTACGTACGGTGCACGATTGCCGAAAACAGATCACAAGTCGCCAAGGCATAAAAGGAGACAAATTTTGGTACCATAACAGTGTGGCTTGTACTGGGAGGGCACTAATTCGATTACAACGACTATTTTTCGATGCTCTGTAAAGGCTAGATCATTTAGAAGCGTAAAATGTTCTCTATACATAGACCTGGATTTTCCGATGTGATATTATATTAAGACAGACTGGCTGGAACACCATAAGTCATGGATCAATCATACGGTGGAAAAGATAGACACCACATACTATTGTCCTGGCAACCCTTCGGCGATACATGGGCTTGCTCTGATAGTTGTTAGAAGCGCTTATGATGCGAGCACGAAGCCACGACAGCTTCAATTTGCGATATTGTTTTGTCAGAAATAGCTTAAAAGACTTAACTAAGGGACTCGAGAAAAGTTCAGAGGGAAGTAGTTCCTTTGAACCGCGGTTAACCGGTGTAGCAAAATTTGATGATTGTGCATCGCGGTCTCTTGTGTTCTACTGTATCTTAGCGAAAACGAATTATTGGCGGTAAAAGCTCGGGTGTCCAAAGATTATCTGTGGTAGAACGAGCGACAGTATGCTGTGATGTACAGGATTTGATGGCATAGATACGAGTTAGAGAGGCTTTGTACCGCGGTCTCCCGGGCAGAATGCTATGATAACAAGACGACTTAAGTCGCGAGCAGAAAAAGCCAGACTCCGACATCATTGGGATTTGTCTTTCCTTGTTGCGTTATATCAGAACTGTTTAGTCTGAAGTACCTCCTGACGAGACCACTTTGCGATGAAGCAGTGAGAACTCACGGATTTGCGGCGAAAATATTTTTCACCCGACGGCAGTGTGATCGGGGTTGTCTTAGGAGGAAGTTTCTCTCATATCTTCAAGAAAAACGTTTTAGGACTCCCCAAAAAAATTCTTAAGATTGTAATCAAGATATTTAAAAACGATTTTGTACTAATTGTACCAGAGATCGCGCTGAGCTCATCATCCGTCCTGCATGATTAAGCTATCAAGGACACTCTCAGAAATTGATTGCGAGAAGTGCGACATCAGTTTTCGACTAAAGTTTAATGGATCCACTGCATTCATTGTGAAGGAAATAGCCATGTGGTCAGAGCTGTACGTACCTTGGATGAGGAATAGCGGTGCAGTTGTGCAGTCACGCATTTGGAAGCATTGGATAAATATGGGTTTGATGGAGTGATGGAGTGATCAGAGCCATAATAATCCAATGCTTCCAGTAACGCGGCAAATGTTGCATCTGATCCTTACTCAGTTTATATTATTATTATCATAAGGCACCATCATTTTGAAATGTATCATGAAAATCTTAGGACGGTGCGAGTGCATCCGCCAATAGATTAAGCCACTCGGTATATGCCACATGCCCTATTTCTCTTTTTGTACGCACGTAACAGCCGCATAACCCCTACAGAAAGAAAGTCATCTGGTCATTCTTCGTGAGAGATGCGTTGGCAACATCACTGTGCGCAATGTTAAATGATCTGTTTTTATAAAACGAACGGCAGAGAGCCAAAGTGGTGCACCCATAAATTTGAAGATGGCATACTTCATTGCAAGTAGCTCCTGGTCATATCATGAATATGTCTTTTCTGCCATTTCAAGCTGATGAAACTCAAGTGCAACCACACATTTATTCCCATTGGCATCTGTTTGGAGAAAAGCGAAGGCTTGAGCGTGACCGACGATACTAGATCTGTATTTGAAAAGTTAGATTACAGCATGCTTGATTTTATCTTCACATATGTAAATACCGCCTCTCCCACCGCACCTGACAACATATGACCTTTTGCAAAGATTTCTGACACGTTGGCATAGTTTGTACTGCACTTGTGCAACTAATTAATCAGCCAAACAACTTCTTCAAGACTTTTAAAAGCAGCGATACTGGCTAATCTAACTGACTTAAATCGGTACGGGATTATCTCTCAGGCCGTGCTTTCCACCGAATCACAGTGAGGGCGTTTCGTCGGTGCCAACGACACTTCTGCCTATATTGTCAAATAACAAATTGCAACACTTAAGAAGTGCACATGTGTTTGAAGTGATTCTCTCTAATCAGCTTCCGTGCTCTGCACGCCCATTGACATATGTGTTGCTCACTTCCAGCAAGCCGTTGACTTACGCATAGAGGAGTGATACACCAGAAACTGAAGGGAATATACAGCTATACAGGCTGTATAGTTCATGTTGAACACACAAGTATGGGGTTCACACAGCATTTTAGTGGAACCTAGCCCACAACACCACCCCAACTCAAAAGTGGGCTTAGCCAAACTTGTCAATTGTCTTCAATTATTTATAAAATTTTCTTCACACTCTTAGTCACACTCTGTCCAACTCTCCCTAGAGTGACAACCCATACGATTGTTCCATTAAACCTGGATAGAGTTCTAATTTCACGTCATATAGCGCATTTGCGCTATCTTGACCATGATCTTCATGATGACTTTCACGACCGACATGGTGGTTCCTCTTTCAAGTTCGGAGAACGCTTTAGTCAAATGATTTTTCGAATGATGACTTGAAACGCATATTTTCGCACCATCGGATCGATTACTCGGACTAGAGGCGAGTCTCAACGTCTCATGTATGTTCTATACGACCAGCAATCCAATCTTTATTCCATTCAGACAATCGACACTCAATTCCGGGCATGGGTTCATGCCACCAAATCTGTGGATCTCCATCATTTTCAATGCGCGAGTACCGCTGTAGACTGATTGAAGGGACGCGACATGCGTTTTCGATCTGCGCATTTGAAAGCGCAGAATCGGGATCACTCCAATATTAAGGATGCTCGCGAAGTACGTTCTGTCGCCAGTCGGATTCACGACAAGAGGGACAGAGTGAAGAGGAAGGTACGACTTCTCTGAGCGAGGTCCGTCTTCGGACTCGCAGCAAGCGCACAAACGATACTGCAAAAAATAGGAGTACGAGAGTCCCACGTATTCTCGTGCGCTGGATGTCCAGCGGCTGATTGCGGTGGCCAATCGGGTGTAGTCGACACGACAACGCGTGGAAAACAATCGACAGGTCGTTCGCGAATTTCGCGATTTCGCCTGGAGATGCAATCAAGAATCAAATATTCGATCGGAGCAGACTCTGCACGCTCCTCCTCCTGTGACTTCTTTCGTTGATGATGTGGGCCTCTTGACAAGCGAGTTTGCTCTGTTCCGGGCGTTTTTGATTATTCTCGTCATTTTGAGGACGATGTTGAGGCAATGACGCCAAGGGGCTCAACCTTCGACCCTCGTGCCGAAGCCGTGGCTTCAAAGCCACCTTCGTATGCCCTGCGTTACATCTAGGTTGGGAATCGCGTCGTCGCAATGGGAGGGCTTGAGGAGCTTTACGTATAACGTTGTATGTGTCCTTAGCCAGCTTGGCAAGTCGATAGTGTAAGCGTTTCAACATGACACTACGCGAGAGAAATATATGAAGCGATGTAATAGCTTTGAGCTTTCAAGCTTGAGACCGCATCGTCTAAAAGGTTCTTAATACTAAGTAGTACATAATCCACCACAATAAACGACATTTTGCCTTGACCTCTTCTATCTGCATATTTCCTTTGCAAATCTTGTGCGTTAGCCATTGTGTCTCGCACACGTGTGGTCACATTCACACGATCCATGATGAATGAGTCAAGAACGTCCTTATACCTGTGCAATACATTTGCATCGTTGATTGTATCAATTTGGGAGGCAACGATCTGCCGAGCTCCTCCCACACCTACATCGGAGACACTATCCATCGCACAAAGCGGGAATTGCGGGTGTCGCAAGCCAATCAAAAGAAATGGTGCGAATTCAGTGGATGAACGAACCGAATTGCTCATAGCAAACTCCATCGATCATAACCACGAGCTCCATTCAGCGAGATTTTTCGCACAGAAACTTCTTACACTTCACCGACCAATTGGGTAGCACGTTATGTTTGCCCATCAGTCTCCGAATGAACCGCTGTGGACATATCCAACCTATTGCCAAAAACTTCTTTCCCGTAGCCACTCGTGATTTGTGTGTCACGACCAGAGACGATGGCGTCTGGCGACCAGTGATTGCGAGAATCGTGATCAATGGAAAATTTAGCCGAACCTTCGTCATCGATGGCGGAGCAATGAGAACCATCTTGCTGAGTCTGTCAACTCGACCCTAAACACTAAGCACCAAACCCTAAGCCCTAACACATTGTGACAAACAGCTTTCTCGGGGTAACCGAGAATAAATTCGAGTCCGACTGACTTTCAACAGTCAAT